AAAGTTTAGAGCTTTGTCTAAAATTGTGTTTGAGGATTTTCTAAAGTTTCTAAGTATAAATGATTGGCTTTATTATACTGGGTAATTATAGAAGTCCTTATTACAGTACCTAATGCATGCATTTTTTTTTATTTTAAAGAAGGAAAAGATTAAGAATATCTATCAAATCAGTAAAAACTAGCTTTTATATCTCTCCGAATCTTACTATTTTTCATTGTGTGCAAAAGAGTATTATAAACATTTCTAGGATTCCCTTTGAGAGTGCAGGAAGAAATAGATAAAAATTTGTCTTAAAATAGACTCATTGTACTTGATGTTAAGTCTCAAAAAACTGTATTGATAACTAAAGCATTTGAATTTCTGTCTAAGTAAATGGTATAATTTAAATCTAGTGTTATATCCTATCCTTCATGTTATACTTGATTAAATTTTGCTTAACAAAGTTTTATTTTTTAAAAGATTTCATTCAGATCTGTTTAATATCATAAGCAATCAAAAAATACATTAATGAAAAATCCAAGGAATATAAAGTAGATTAACAAGCTTACCTGAAAATAAAGTAATATGCTTTTTAGAATATTTATTTGAAGCAAAAATAAAATCCTTGGATAGTAATGACATCAAGATTGTTAATAGTTAACTAGTTATGTTTTTTTAATCAAAATTTTTTGTTAAACTGTTTTTAACTTTTATAAAATTATATACACAGGCAGACATATATCTAAAACATTTGCCTGTAATTAGTATAAACATAATTATTGAGCTTTCATAAAATAATATTAGAATTATTTTTGTTAGTTCCTTCAAAAATGTTAGAAGTTAGACATTTAAAATATCTCACAAGACTGCAGCATAGAGCATACTTACAGAAGGCTTTTATTTAAAGTCCAAAGGATATTGTGCAGCCAGAAAAAGGACATAGGCAAGCATATAGCATCCAGGACACATTCAGGCACAGGCACCCCAGTGTCTTTACTTATACACAGACATACTTTGTCTCCACATTGAGCCACCAAGATCTGTGCAGTGAATCTTGGCTTCAGGAGAGCCCCAGGCAGGAATTCCCATCAGGGTAATTTTTTTTTTTTTTTTTTTTTGCCACTGTTATCACGTAGCCTAGCCTGGCTACCTAGTTATGCCCGATGAAAATCATCAGCAAACAAATCAACTTGCAGGCTGCCAGGAAAGATTCAGACTTTAAACAGCACATCATAAATCCCACTGTTCATATACTGGCTAAGAATCAAGGCTAGACATTCAGGCATCCCCAGAGCTTTCCCAGTCCAGCTGTAAATTAATACTTTACTACATAGTCCCTGACAATTTAATCTAATAAAAGGCAAAATGATGATGATAGTTGCATTGTATAAACTACAGTAAAATTTATAAAATGCTTTAATATGCATTAACTTATTTGAACTTTATAATTCTGTGAGCTATGTAGGAAAATTGTTTTTATCTCCATTTTATAGATACTAAGACTCAGAGAGGTTAAGTGATTGGCCCAGTTCATATACCTTTTGCGTCAGTAGAGTCAGTTCTAGAAGACAGGCCTTCTGCCTTTTATTTTAGAATTTTTTTCAACACTTCATGCCAAAAGTAGATATAAAGAACTATTTACTTATTTTCTAACTGTTCTATGAAACAATGTGGGAATGAACAATATATTTAAAGCTACTACTTATTTCCCCTCCCCAAAAAAATAGTATTTGTGTTTTAGTGAATATAATAAATGTTTTCAGAATTTTTTTTTTATAATGACTTCCAAATTAAGTCTAAGTCCAGTGCCTGGTTTTTGTTTTTTTTTTTCTTTTTAGTTATGTAGCAGGAAACTTTGTTTCGAAGGAATATGAGATAATATATATTTGGGAGAATTGTTCACAAATTTATTTTTCTAGGATTTTTCACACTTGAATATCAAATTGGGTGTGCAAGATCTAGGTAAAATATCAAGATATAGTTGTACTTGTAACATTCTCTCTCTCTCTCTCTTTCTTTCTCTCTACTCCCCCTCTCTTTCCCTCCCTCCCTCTCCCTCTCCTTCTCCCTCCCACTATTCCTCCCCCCCGCATTCCGCACCTTTCCTTTTGCCCTCTCATTCATTTATGACCTATTTACTTGTCTCCTATGCCCCAGGTATCTATCTCCTGAGGGTTTAAAAATTAATAAAATGAGATTCTTGCTTTTAATTATCTTATATTCTATATTTTTTATAATCTCACAGTTCCACCCAGGAGAATCTCTGTAATATTGATTACAATACAGTGTAGTCAATTAATAATGTATAAAGTATTGTGTATTATAAGTATTGAGATACAGGGTTTTTGCTAAGAAGTTAGTGAAGACATGAAGATGAAAGACTTTTGAGCTAGGTCAAAATTAAGGAATTTGTTAGAAAAAGAAAGAGAAGACTAGTCTAATCATACATGTAAAAAAAGCAACAAGGATGTGTTTAGGAAAAACAGTGAGTGAGTATTCTGATATGCCTGGAACATAAATTACGTGGGGATAATTAGCAAGAGATGAGACTCTTTGAGGCTAGATGTTGACTGGCCTCATACGCCATGTAGAGGTGTATAGACTTCATGCCAAAAGAGTATGGAATCCAGGAGTCATTGTTCAATAGGAATTTTTATTACTAGATGAATTTTTTTAACAGATAACATACAATATAAAGAGTGAATGAAAGAGGTGACCATCAGTGAAGAGATGAGTTTGGAATCTGTTGAAATAGTCTTATGAGTGATAATGGAGCTAAAGGTTGGGCCATAGAATGCAAAAGGAGTACACAATTGAAAGACAATTTAGAAATAGACTCAGGCAAATTAGATTAAAATGAGGAAGGAATCTAATTACAGAAGTTTGGTCTTGGCAAATTGCCTAATCCACCTCTGTTGTACATGAGGTCTTTGAGACACCCAGCATGGTCAAATGAATTGCATTAAGCTATATTACTAGTTGGTGACAGAATTGGGTCCCCGCCTCTAGTGTTCTCCACATTGTACCTTGCTTCCTGTGTCTCCAATAGTTTTTTTTTTTTTTTCTTGATTGTGCTGTGACCTTACCTTGCTTACAGTTTATAGGACACTCTAATATACATTATCTATTTTTACTTGTTCAGCAATCCCATGAAACAAGTAGAACAAGCAATATTTTTTTACCTTTCTAAAGGTAAGAAAACCAAATCAGTATGGTTGCTATGCTTATTAAGAGTTTTCTCAGTTTTATCCTTACCACTTAAATACTTATTCCTTAAGTTTTTCCCTTAAAAATATATAGAATTTTATAACTGGTAGAATCATTTGTTGATTTAGATTATAGATATACTCCTGAAATCATCTCTAAGCCTGAAGTAGATTTTACATTTTGTTTGTTTTGTCCTTTGGTGAATCATTTTGCAAACGAACCAAAAAAATCTATTTTTGTTTTATTTTATTTTATTTTTATTTTTGTTTTTATTTTTTGAGACAGAATCTTGCTCTGTTGCCAAGCTGGAGTGCAGTGGTGCGATCTCTGCTCACTGCAACCTCCGCCACCCGGGTTCGAGTGATTCTTTTGCCTCAGCCTCCTGAGTAGCTAGGAGTACAGGCGCGTGCCACTGTATCCAGCTAATTTTAGTATTTTTAGTAGAGATGGGGTTTCACCATATTGGCCAAGATAATGTTGATCTCTTGACCTTATGATCCACCCTTCCCAGCCTCCCAAAGTACTGGGATTACAGCCATGAGCCGCCGTGCCTGGCCTGTTTGATTTTTTCTATAATCTTGGTTAATTTAAAGCAAAACATTTTCTTAAATACCTCATAATATAAAATATTATTAGGACTATTTGGGGGTAGACAGTATATTATAGAGGACTCTTTAAATACTAGTTTCATTACTTATTGTGAATCCTAGGGCATATTGGTAAACCTATATCAACCTTGCCTCCTCTACCTCAGTTTAATAGTAGCCTTAATTCACAGTTACTATGAGTGTTACGTGAGATGACTGCAAAGCATGTGAAACAGTCCCTGGCACTAATAACTACCTGAGGTATTATCAGCTATTATCAGATTTGTATTTTCTACTGTAGGAAATTTATAACTATATAAGTTATGTAGTTGTAAAGACAAAGAGTCAAAAGCAAATGAATTGACATTTACTTGTGAATTTTGCATCAAGTAATTTCTGTAAGTTTTATAGCACAAGTATGATTTACATTTAGATACATACATAAAATGCAATTAAGAAATAAATAGGGAACAGTTCCTACATTAAAATATCTTTCTTCTTAAAAACGTATGTTCTTTAGATAATCAAAGTATTTTATACTCACACTCAGTGCTTAATTACAATATTAAAAATCATTTTTTCTGTTTAAGAAAGTCTTGTATTATTGTTCTAAAATCATTTCCATGTGGAGTCAAGCAGATATTGAAACTTATTTGATTCTATTAGAATGTTCAAAACAACTTGTCTTTTTCATTCTTGCCACTAGTCTCTGAAGAAAATAAGCATTGTATTATGGTGGGACAAATGTTTTATGTTAATTGATTACGTAATACAACTTCTGGTGTTTGCACAATGATCGAGGTATTGAAGTTTAAGTTCATTTTCATGGAATGTCCAATCAGCAATATATCTCCATCTCTATAAAGATATTATAGACATAAATATATTCCTTTTAGTACACTAGAGCTCTTATTAGGTAATATCAAGATGATAAAGTACTTTTTCAAGAAATGTATTGAATTACTTTGGTATATAATATAATTTATCCAAAGAAAGCATTCAAGACTTCTAGTTTGTACCCTTCACCATTCAGCTATATTTTTTCCTCTTTAGTCTCTTCTATATACATTTCATTAGTAATAAAGGAATCTTTCAAAATTTGTTCCATGGATCCATTTTAGATACACAAGAGTTAGAATTGATTTTACCAAGTTTAGATTTCTATTGTAATTTTTTATTCTTAATGGTCTATGAAAATAATGTTTATTAATTTACTTTATTTTTTAGACAAGCCAAATTAGATCTAAGAGTTGCTGTAGCAAAAGTTGAAGAGTTAACTAATGTGACTGAAGATCTGCAGGGACAGATGAAAAAGAAGGTATTTTCTATTTCTAAGACAAATAGATACTGTTCCTTAGTTTTCCTTCTATTTTGTTGATTTATTTTGGATTAGATGTTAAAGAGGGTTGTTAGAAGATGAATTAATTATTTTATTACTCTTAAATATAAAATATGAAAGTAGGAAGCTACATTATAATATTGGAAACAACTTTATAAAGAATTTTTTATTTCCATTCTCTGTAGCCTAATAAAACATCATAATCACACCTAAGCACATCATTATTGAAATGCAAATTAATGCAAGATAAGCTTCAGTTAACTGGTTGTTTGCATTGGAAAACAAGCATTTAATACTACATTTTATGTTATTTACTAAAATATTTATTGATATAACAGACTCTGGTTCTTTTTAATATGAAATAGAGAAATTTCAGAAGAATATCAAGGAAAAGTCAGGCTTTAGTTTTAGATAGATAAAATTATTGGAAATTCTCTCTCTAAGGCTTATTAGCTATATCACAATCTAAGCCTTATTTCCTGATCTGTAAAAAGTTGATGATAGATTTATAATAATGGTAGAGTTTTTTAAGTGTTACAAGAACCCTCCCATAATTAACAAGTTTAAAACTTGGATAAATTTTTAAAAACACTAGAAAGCACCCAAAACAGAAAGAAGTAACAGAAATAAAAACTGTTCATTTTTGGATTTCTGGCCTGACGGTTCTCCCAAACCCCACAGCTGTGACTTCAGAAAACAACTCAGTATGGGCTTAAGGTACCCAAGGTCAAAGTTTAGGACTAGAAAAGCAGTTGGAAATTTAAAGAAGAAATACTAGCAGAAAGAGAAACACACAGAGAAAGTGAGAGCCAAATTCTGAGTATAAAATCTTACCAAATTCATGCCTGACAACTAAATTACACATATGGGAGTGGGGTAGGGACCCCAGGGAGGCCAGTGAAGAAGCAGGCAGAGACCCAAGAGAAATCTACTTTTGAAAGACAGAAATGTATGGAACCAGATATTTGAATTTGCTACTTTTTATAATTGAATACATACGAGAAATCTGTGCAACTGATGCATCAGAATACTGAAGCTTTCCTTACTGCTTGAAGTATCAGAGGACAAAGCCCAAAGCTGAAAGAGCAGCTGGAATTTACAGGGGGATCTCTAGAAGCAAGGGAACCACAAAGAGGATGAACCCTACCTCTGCCCAAATCTTGACTGATCTTCAAATTATGTAGGCACAGAAGGTACCCTAGGGCCCAGTTATAAAAGCAATAGTGGAAAGCAATAAGAATTAGTTACAGATATCAGCTGCTGCATACTGTATGTGGAAGAGATTTCAAATTTCAAGGCCACACAAGGTAATTGTCTACTTGAACTAAAAAAATAAATGATCAAAAGAACAAAACAGTAACTGTAGTGTATTATCTACACTATCGAGTTTTCAATCAAAAATTACTAGACAGGAAAGTACGACCCATACTTGTGGGGGAGGTTTTGGGGGAGGCAGCCAATAGAAACTTTTGACTTTAAATGGATCCATCTGTTAGATTTAGCAGACAGAGACTTCAAATCAGCCCTTATAAATATGTTCAAGGAATTAAAATCTGTTTTTAAATTAAAGTCTCTAGGAAGATGATAGATAATTTTAATTGAGAACTAGAACATAATTTTTTAAATAGAAACTCTAGAGCTTAAAAGTTCAGCGACTGAAATAAAAATTTCACTAGATGGACTCAAAAATAGATTGGGAAAGACAGAAGAAATAATCAATAAACTTGAAGTCACATCAATAGAAATTTCCCTATCCAAAGAACAGACAGTTTAAAAGATTGAAGAAAAATGAACAAGAGCTCAGAATCTGTAGAATAATGTGAAGCAATACAACATAAGTGTAACTGGAACTGCCAAAGGAAGGGGGATGGGAGCAGAAAAAAATTAAAAGAAATAATGGCTGAAAATATCCTAAATTTGGTAGACAACATTGAAATTTAAGAATCTCAATGAGTAAACACAAAATCACTTTGAGACACATCACAACGATACTGATAGCCAATTATGAAGCGAATACCTGAAAGTAGCAATAGAAAAATGACCTGAACAGAGAGACAATGATAAGATTAATGTCTGAGTTCTGATCAAGAAACTGTGCAAACACTTACGGATGTAGGCCCTGGCAAAGATTTTATGATGAAGACTCCAAAAGCAATTGCAACAAAAACAAAAATTGACCTGTGGGACCTAATTAAACTAAAGAGCTTCTGCATACCAAAAGAAACTATCAACAGAATAAGCAGACAACCTACAGAATGTGAGAAAATATTTGCAAACTATGCATCTGACAAAGGTCTAATATCCAGCATCAATAAATAAACAAATTTACAAGAGAAAAAATAACATTAAAAAGTGGACAGAGGACATAAACAGACACTTATCAAAAGAAGATATACACATGGCCAAGAAGCAAATGAAAAACTGCTCAACACTATGAATCGTTAGAGAAATTCAAATCTAAACAACAATGAATAGCTATCTCACACCCTTCTGAATAACTATCATTAAAAAGTCAAAAAATAATAGATGCTGGCAATGTTGCTGAGAAAAGGAAATATTTATCCACTGCTGATGGGAATGGCAATTGGTTCACCTACTGTAGAAAGAGGTTTGAAGACTTCTCAAAGAACTCAAAACAGAAGTACCATTCAACCCAGCAATGCCATTACTGGATATATATAACAAAGTAATATAAATCGTTCTACCATAAAGACACATGCCCATGTATATTCATCACAGCACTTATTCACAATAACAAAGAGATGGAATCAACTTAGATGCCCATCAACAGCAGACTGGATAAAGAAAATGTGGTACATATATGCCATGGAATACTACACAGCCATAAAAAGAATGAAATCATGTCCTTTGCCACAATATGGATGCACCTGGAGGCCCTTATCCTAAGCAAATTAACTCAGCAACGGAAAACCCAATACTGCATGTCACTTATAAGTGGAAGCTAAACACTGAGAACAAATGGACACTGAAGGGAACAATAGACACTGACCCTTCTTAAGGGTAGGGGATGGGAGGAAGGTGAGGACTAGAAAAACTACCTATCGGGTACTGTGCTCATTACCTGGGTGGCAAAATAATCAGTATACCAAACACCCTGACACAGAATTTACCCATGTAACAAACCTGCCCATGTACCCCCTGAACCAAAAATAAAAGCTGGGAGGGGAGAAAAAAAACCCTATGGAAACAGAAAGTATTGGAATAGTAATTCCAATAAACAGAAAGTATTGGAATAAAAAAAAATACTAAGAATTCTATATTCAGTGAAATTATCCTTCAAAAATGAAGGCAAAATGCAGGCATTTTCAAATAAACCGAAAATGAATTTGTCCCTAGCAGACCTGCATTCAAAAAATTCTGAAGTTATTTAGGCTAAAAGGAAATGACACCAGATGGCAACTCAGATATAAAAAGAAATTAAAAGCAACAGAAATGGCAAATATGAAATAATGTGTATACATATATTTCTTTTCCCTTAATATTTTTAAAAGATGATTGCTCATAGCAGAGCTGATAACACTGTATTTGATGGATTTGTAAAGTGTGCAGCTGTATTACTATGGCACTCAGGACTGGGATCGTACATGGATATACACTGTTGCAAGGTTCCAGTGTTTTCTCTGAACTATTATCTAAATATTAACTCTAAATAAATTGGAATAAGTTCAAGATGCATACTGATAGTTCAAACAAATATAGCTAAAAGCAATAGAGTAATTAAAATGGCATTGCTAGGCTGAGCATGGTGGTATGCACCTATAGTCCCAGGTACTCGAGAGGCTGAGACAGGAGGATCACTTGAACATAAAAACTATTTGTTAACACATAAAGCAGGAAAAGATGAACAATAAATTTCTTTAGAAAGATGATACAAATAAAATGTATTAATATAGGTCAAAGCATCACTATGTCGAAGAAAGACCCTGTGATTACCTTGATAGTTAATGAGAAGTATAATATAGTTAAGAGAGCTTATTCTGAAGGCAGATTATCTGCATAGAAATCCCTCTCTTGTTTTGTTAGATTTGCACTATAGAAATAGTTTGAAATATTGGTAGAACTCTCTGTGTAATAACTGTTTTGAGTATTTTTTATTAATACAGGATTGACGATAAAGTTCTCCCCCTCCTTTTTATTATACACATGATTTGTTTCCAAGTTGTATTATTTCTTTTAACGTACGTATTAGAATGCTAATAGCATAATAACTTTATAGCATGAACTGTTTTTTTTATGCTGTATAATGGTGTATTGAATTTTCACATACTCAAAGTAAGCTTCTAGTTTCCTTATTTTCTAGGAGGAGGATGTGATGTCTGCCAGAGGAAGAGAGGAAGCATCAGATAGGCGCTTACAGCAGTTACAGTCTAGTATAAAACAATTAGAAATAAGGTAAATTGTTAAATACACCTAGCTTTGTTGATATGCTTTAAAAGATATTTCACAATAGAGTTTCAGTGTGTGATATTTACTAGAATAAATATTTTATAGACTCTAAATCAAAACCATAACCTGAGATGTAAAATCTGATTTAATCGGCATTGCTTATTAAAAATTATATCAGATTGTTAGAATATATATTCAAAGATAATTTAATATTTTAGAACCTTTACTAAGTACATTAATTTAACTTTGAAAGAGAATAGTTGTACCAAATTTAGTCCAGTACTTTTTTGGAAACGAATAAAACCCTTGATATCTTGCTTTTGTATCAGTCCTGCAGAGCACAAAGCACATCTTTATTTCCTCAGGTCATCCTGCAAATTTTGGCATGAACATAGTTGACCTTAAGTAAACTAAAATTTTTCTTTCTTCTAAAGAGTGGTTAAAATTTTTAAATTATAGTTAAGAGAAAATTTGATATTACCTCAACCCCGCTGTAATTCTGTACTACAAATACAGTTACAGCAGAAATAAATCATAGACATAGAAGGCAAAAAAGGAGGCAATATGGTAATATTGCCATAGATGACAGAGAAAAGTCCTTAAACAACATTTATACCTATTTAGTTTAAACAAATACAAGGAATTATTATCAGCAGGGAAAATTCACCAATGGATACTACTATTAAAAGTAGGATTTTAAAAAATAACTAAAAACCTAGAATGAAGTCTGATTGATGGGCATCACTTACTTGTATAATCACCCCCACTACTTTCTGACCTCCATTGCTTGTATGCTTAAATTGTTAGCGAAAGAAAATTATTCAATAATACAATTGACTCTTGGTTTGCTGCCACTGTCAGCCTGAATTGATATTTGAGATTTCACCCATATTTACTAAAGAATACACCCAGATTTATACATCATTCATTACTTAATTGGAATCCAAATCACTTTTTTTCTCCTTTCTTCAACAAGTATTCACTCCCTAGACTGAAGACATTTTAAAAGCTAAGTTACCATAGGATATATATATATATGTTTGAGAGCCTGAAAGGAGTAATATTAAAGTGATTGAAAAACAGAATTTAGATATTATTTTTTTTCCCTCAAGATTTAGTTGGGTGGGTTTTTAGTACCATGAAAGACCAAATGTACCAGATAATTCATGAGATGATTTTATTCAGGCTATTGCAGTAGGGAGAATGCTCATTAATGAGGAATGTTTCAAAGAAAAGGAAGGTGCCTAAGGTTTTATATAGGCGTTAAATGACGTGTGCATGAGTCTTGTGGGAGTCATGAGGAGGGATGGAGGTGGGACTTGGAATATGGGAGAGCAGGGTTGTTTTATGCTGTTAGCTTTATTCTAAAGCACAAAATGATAGGGGAGTTTTAGAGAACAAGAGTGGGAGGATTTCTTAGCCATCTCTGTTTTCCTGGCTCAGGTAAAGTCTAATAGTATAAAGGAAGAACAAAAGCCAGATACAATTAATGTCTGTTCTTAACATTTGAGGCAGATATTTGAGTGGACCAACAATTCAGCACCACAGGTTAGAAATGAAGGAGAATAAGACAATGATTCATAATGAATGTGCAGACTATTCCAATCATATAATGTGTCAGATTAAATATTCTGAAAAAACCCTCTTAATATAAGCATCTTGATAAATTACAACATGACATTTTTTCGAAGTTATATTGTTTCTTTAACTTACATATTAATATTCTAATAGCATAAAAACTTTATAGCATGAACTGTTTAATTACATTTAAATGCTCAACTTATATAGTTGGGAATTCTCAAAGGCACAAACAAAAACAGGAAGCTAAAACCAGAATGATAAATAAATGACTTCCCTGTCGAGGAAGTCAGGGCTGGAACTATATAATGTCACAAGAAGGTAAATGTCCTTGAAGGAGCCACACTCTCATTAAAAGACTAAAATAGAATAAATTTCTGCTTTTTAACAAGGATAGCCAACAAATAGAACTATCTCTACCATGTAGCCAAATGGAAAAAAGAAACCATAATAATCATTGTACACACAGACCCCTCAGGATCCCCACAGATTAACTATAGACAGATACAAACTTAATCAAAAATTACCAAATGCATGAGAAAAATAAATCGCTCAACTGACAGGAAGAGGGTTTTGATGTGGGTAGTGGAGGGGAGCAGGCAGAATAGAGAAGGCTGTGTCTTCTACCATTTAGAATAAAGAAATGCCTGAAAATAACAAAGAAAATTATAAAATATCTCACCAAACATGCTATAAAGCCACAATAATCAACTTTAAATGAGTATGTAAATAAGTAGATCAATGAAACATAATCTATAAAGTATGATATTTCCATATATGATATTTGCATATTTTAGGGATGTAATGGGAGTATTTAAATTCATTAGTTACTAATGGTACTCATACAGCTGGCCATTAGTCTGGAATTTAAATTGGACTCTTACATCATATTCAGGAGTAAATTCACATGAGTCAGGATTAAAGATTTAGGGCTAAAAAATCATGGAACTCTTTGGTGGAAATCTAAGAGATTACACTGACAATAAGTTGATGAGGGAGATCACCTTTATAAAAACTGAAATCCCAGAAGTTGAAAAAAAAAAGTCAAATTAAGCTGTATTAAATTTTTAGTGTGGTGAAGAACCCCTAAATAGAGTCAATAGGCAACAATAACAAAAAAGTAGATTTGGAAAAAAATATTTGCAGCATAAAAGACAGACTAAGGGTTAATATTTATAATTTAGAGTTCTTTAAAGAGATGAGCAAAGTAAACAATCCATTAGAAAACATGTTCAAAGATTAGGAGAAATTCAAAGAACAAAATTCATATGGCTTACAAAAGGAAGAGAATATGCCTAAACGTTCTGATAGAGAAATACAAATTGACAGTGAAATGAGGTTACATTCATTAGACTAGGAAAGGAAGGTGGCTTTCTAACTTGATGAGATTTCTATAAGATATTATTAGATGAGAAAAGCAAGCACAGAAAAGGGTGTATACTATGATTTTTATTGTTAAAAAAAACATTTAAAAGCTCCTGTGGCTAGATGTATGTATAATATGTATGTATATTTATGTGTATATGTGTATGTGTATATATATAATTATGTGTACATATATATGATCATATGAATATGGAGAAAATTATTTTAAGATGTACATTAGTAAGTTAACATAGCTTGCCTGGAGTAGAGAGTATGAAAGGGGAGAAAAGAGAAAAGATCATATAAATGTAAAGAACAACTCATTTTTTAAGGGTTTGCTTTATATCATTGTCATGTAACTATAGAATACAGTGTAACTATATAATATGTGTATAAAACAGTGTATAATATAGCGGTATAATACAGATACCATAGCAATTGCGTGTAACATAATTAGGGTCAGAAAATCCAAGCTTAGTCTCATCTCTACTGCTCATTAGCCATATGAACTTAATCAAATGCCTAACCTCTCTGGGTATGTTTGTTGTTCTTTAAAATGGAGATATGGAAATAGTAAAACCTACTTTATAGAAGTATAATGAGTATCAAATGAGAAAATATTAATACATATAAAAGTTACTGGCATAATACCTGTCCTGTAACAGATGCTTAGTAAATCTCCCTCTTTCCCTTTAAAAAAGTTTAACTTTCCCAGTGTGATTATTGATTTCCAGATTATGTGTGACAATCCAAGAAGCCAACCAGTTAAGAACAGAAAAAACACGTCTGGAAAAACAGACCAGAGAGCTACAAGCAAAGTGCAATGAATTAGAAAATGAGAAATATGAGGCAATTATAAGAGCCAGAAATAGCATGCAACTCTTAGAAGAAGCTAACCTTCAAAAAAGTCAGGTAAGAAAGCTAGTAAATATGTTTAGAAATAATAAAATGTTGACTATTCTCCCATGTGACCTCACAGTAAGGGATTCAATAGCTGCAGAATAAGTGCATGAAATTGCTACTCTCTTCATTAATAATCATACCATATTCTTGGATGTTAAAACCAAATATCATAATATGATGTCAATTCTTTTCTAAAATAATGTATAAATATCAGACTTTTCTTATCTTCCCAAACCTTGCGTAACTGATCGTCATCCCCTGTAGTCTCATACTTAAAAAAAAAACAGTTACAATGCTTTACTGCTGTATACCCTATATTTTATTCAGTTGAATATAAATCTTACCTGTCTCTATTTCCCGTTCATCATCTACTCAATTACTCTAATAAAGCAGAAGCTTAATTGGCTTTAAAGATTTATTAACTGAAGTCTTCATGTCACTGTTCTTTTTTAATTCTCTAACAATTGTGATTCCTGTGCTATCTAATACAGTGTTCTTTGTCATATACTGCTTCCCTATGAATAATATATATTAGTTTATAGAAGTCATAAAATAGACTTGTTTTTAATGTTGCTGCCTCCCTTATGTAGAGTTCATTAAATCATGAATGTATTTACCAACATATATCAAACACCTAGTATATACAGAATACTCTGCTAGGAGGTATGGTGGGATACAAAGGAAATGCTTTGTTTTACTTATATTTCCTTTATTACAGAGGATTTTTCAAGAGAGCTGCTAAAACAGAATGTAGTGTAAGTTGGATATTGAGAAGCTAATAAATTTAAAAAGAATTAATTATCGAAATCATAACTGTGGAATACTAAAGTGCTTATGCCTGTCAATTAATATTTCAATCTATAACCTGAATCATGCCTGTCAATTAATATTTCAATCTATAATCTGAATCCTGCCTTTTAGAATAGTTAAGAGGCACACAATAGATATAATATGCTTGGGAATTGTTCTGAACACCTACATCAGCTAGAAAAATTAAAGTCAAGACAAAATTTTTTATCTCTACCCTCTGAAGCCTACTTGTATGAGCACGCTTAATACCAAGTCATTAAAAATAAACATCTTGTGTAGAGCACAATGGAAAGAGAAAATAGTAGGAACACTCATTACCCATCCTCCCAAATCTTGTTCACTCAAATCCTAAGTCAACTGACCCTCACAGAGGCTGTCTATGGCTACAATATTAAGATGCTCCTTGACTCATTGCTTAATTGCTAGAGGGTTCCCATCCTCAGTTGCTCGTTCAAAATCCAAGTTTCTCCCAACTGATCATACAAACAAGACAGGAAGTATAGCCTAGCATAGTTCCTCTTTTCTCCCTCAAGGTTATTACATAAGAACAGCTGTTACTTCCCACTAGCTTACTTATTTAAGGTGGAAGAAATTTATCTTAACACAATTTTTAAAAAAAGAGGTGAGAATGTGTGTGATACCTTTGGAAGATGGTGGGAACAGAACATGGTCACTTGCATGTTGATTTAAAATGGGATTCATTTGGCCTAATTGAAGGAGTTTCAAGCCCTGAAAAATGCTTGTGTTAGAGATGTAAATATGGGGATTGTCAGCATGTAAATGATATTTAAAACCATGAGATTTTGTTGGACTACTAAAAGAAGAACAGATAGAGAGGGGAACAAGAACTGAACCTTGGTAGTCCAGTATTAAGAGGTTCAGGAGACGAGGAAGAATCGGCAGTGAAGACTGAAGAGGAGTGATCAGTGAGATAGGAGGAAAACCAGTACTGTACTGTGGGTGATGTGCTGAAACCACATGCAGAAAGTACAGCAAGGAGAGGAAAGTAAATATCTCAAGTGTTGCTGGTAAAGAAGTACTGAAAATTTACTCATAGTTAATTAATATGGAGACCATGGTGGTAAAAGCCTGATTCAATGGATTATAAAAGAGATTGAGAGGAAAAGTGTTGGAGATGAACAAGTGACAGAGTTTTGCTTCACAGAGGAGTAAGGAAATGGAGTGTGACTGACAGCAGAGCTAGAATTATGGCAATATTTATTTAGTGGGAGATGGAAATGATTGGAGGGATAGAAACATCAAAGAGGCAAAACAAGTAGTACCTGCAGTGATCAAGTTATGGGCTAATGAGTGACATAATTTGAATAATACCAAATAATGGAAAGAGAGAGAAATTCAAGAGATTCTTTTTCTTTCTTTTTTTTTTTTTTTTTTTTTTTT